TCAAGTGGTCAATCACCTTTAATGATAATAATATTTATTAGCTTGAGTCTAAAACTCTAAAGCCATACAAAACTTTAACATATAAAATTAACATACCCTACCTTATCTGTGAGCTTGTCATTTTTTGAACCAAAGTCTTGACCACGCCCTTCGTACAAAGCCTTTGCCATGGTGCATGTAGCGTGATTGGTATATGCAGCTAGTCTCATATGATACTAATAAAGTGTTGACGTCGTACCTCTCATGCGTACTGATATATAATGTCTTTGAAGAAGAATTATTTTACAAATTTTAATTTCTTTTTAATTTTTATGAAGTGTCCAATAGACTAACCTTCCATAGATTTTGACGATCCTTGATGATTCTTACGACAATCATGCTGCTTTGATTGAACGCCGTTCTTCTCCGATATGGCACACACTCTACAATAGGTATTCCTTGTTGCGAAGTCAATGCATTTGTTGGTGTTCAATCCTACGAGAGTTCCTTGACCTGTTCTTGAGTTGTGGGCGCGACATTGCCTCTGCCACCCCTGATCAAATAAGGCCTTCATCCCTCCTCCATCGGTTTCTTCTTTTTCCTTTTATCTCCAAGTAGCGCAAGTTGTAATGCCACATTGTTCTACAAGTTTCCCTACTTCTCTTTCCCCCCTTTTGAACGTAGACGATGACACAGCGGGAATTCCAATGTTGGACATCAGCCATGTGCCCTAAGCCTTAATGAAGACAACCCAGGGCAGCTCTTCTAGCTAATAGGTTGATAACATTTGTATGAGTGCAAGTCTTGCAGGCAACGTGCAAATACATTTGGTCGGTTTGTTGTCTTGCTAAATTTGAAAGATCTAGAGGACCACTCAAGTATTTCTCACAGTCGTAATGACGAAGGGAGCTCACTTCTGCGATGATTAAAGACTTTTTTGCTCTTTTCTTTGAATCATTCAAGGGTCTTAGTCTAGCTTTAGGTGGTTCAGCTGGTTCAGTCTTCTCATTTTCTACGTTTTTAACTCGAAGATTGCGAAGCAATCGAAGAGTTATTGGAGGGGGACGAATCTGTCACTCACTCACTCACTCACTCACTCACTCACTCACTCACTCACTCACTTTCCTGTAAACTTGAGCCTGCGTTACTTGTGTTCAAAACTATTNGTTTTTTCATTTAACATTCGAATATTGGGACAAACGAGGAGTTTAAACATGGCCTTATCGTTTTGAGCAACATTTTGAAATGTTCAAATATCTCGAAAATTTAGGTTAAGAATTTATTCAAACTTCGTCAGTATGTCAATTATGCTATTAAAAAATGATTCTGAAAATTTTATTACAATCTCTGCGATGAGTTTCTAGAAAATTAACTTAGAAGAATAAAATGCGCTCGCTATTATTTTGCATYGCTTGTCCAAATGCCTTCATTTTTTGGCAAAATAATTTATCAACAAGAATTATCGATAATCATTGTTACTTCTGTGMGAATTTGAGTGCAATCGATTCGAAATTGGCGACGTAGTTGGAGTTTAAAAAATACGCCCGGTGTAACGCGACGYGCTATTTATTACGATCGAAACACCTTAAACTGCACGGATGTGAGAAACAGTACTCTCCTCGCAGCCGTTCTTAGCGGCGGGACCCCTGTCCCCGCCCCACAACGTACAGGATAGTACTATGTAATATATTTTGGCGTATTATACTCTATAGTTTTTAAGAGACAATCCGAATTAATACTACCGCATGATAAATTATTTTCACATACGGTATTTAATCTTCTTTCTCRTGTAAACAAAGCTAGGTATCGCGATTTGTTGAAAATTCTAGGGTAATTGTTAAGGAGTATTATTGTAGGTATTCGTCACCTTTTTCAAGAGTAGTCGGTCAGAAAACTATTGATATACGTGTAGTACTCCGGATTTGAATACTCTTGACAGACCATACCTGAAGTAAGAATACGCCAGCAATACTCGAGACATAACGTATGCAATAGTTTTCAGTATGAATACTCCAGGGATACGTCGAGTATCATACTGCGACTTGAATACCTCCGAATATACATGTACCACGGGATTATTCTGGTGCTGAAAGTTCTTGAATACAGAACTTTTTGYACAGTGTACGTTATTTCAATCAGTCAATGTATTAGACAGGATGGAAAAACCTTTATACAATAGAGAGACAGTGAAATATTACCAAAAAACATCATATTTTTCTGCATATTGCTGGATTTCATGCTAAATATATATATCTGCCTAATCTTTATATCATAAAGCTTATGTTAAACATAGATAAAAACGAAACACGTGTGTACATACTGTACATGTATATTCTTAAAAGCCTTAAGCATTGCAAGAGTGGATTTCCCGATTGATTTTTCAAAAGCCTATAAAATGATTGTTAAATTATTTGTAGTAAAGATTTTTTTACAGTTTAATTTTGTTCTGTTTCATCGTTTATTTTATTTTATTTATTCATTTATTTATTTTTGCTATTTTACTATCTATTTAAGGTCTAATCAGTTGTGTAAGGCTTGCCCTAAAATGATAATCCATACACAGTAAAAAGATTACTGCGACGTTTGTCCTTCGACGAGGCAAAACAGGAATTCTCGTGCATATAARGCTTAATTTGTACTGCGAAAATCGATTTATATATTCTATTTGCGACTTGACGGGTAGGCTTGTCTAACGAGACGATGCTTTCTTCTTTGAACTCTTCTGATGAAGGCTGGCATAGGCCAAAATGGTAGTCAATACTATGTCGGCTCTTTCTCTCTCTCGGTGGATTTTCTTATCAAGACACGGTACAAAATGTTTTTTCTAAGCGAATGTCAAACTAATAATATTATTCACACTAGACAGCTAGGACGTTTTTCTTTCTAGATCATTTTCTTATCATTCATATGCGTTCGCTTTATCGTCCGCTTCCTCTTCCTTGAAATATCTTCGAATTGTTCAAAGAAATCCGCCAATAATTCATATTAACATCCAGGAATGCGGCAAATTGATAAACTCTTAACCTCTTTTAACATATGACAAATTTCGTCACATCTGTTGGGGATTTCGTTAGTAGTTTATTTTTGGCAGTATGCTTTAGGTTTTGTTCACATGTAGCGCTTCTTTGTAAACAACCAGAACTTGAACAGTTAGATATGAAACCGCACGATTACTCTTTCATTGGGCATATCGTGTGATGTTTTACAAGTCATGAACACAACTTTAAAAACATTAATTTTGACGTCCTCTTTTCGTTTGAATGAGATGGCTTATCGCGGGAGACAAGAATCCTCCAGTCAGTTATCCCATTCGTTGAATTTACTAATTACTTTACATGTACGTTGAATTAAGCAATTACAAAATAAGCATCCCCTTTTGCTTGTCGTAGAGACAGTTATTTTCAATGGATTTTAAATTGTTTAATTAATTTTTAATGTTTCGCCGTTATTTCTTATATTTTTATGGAATTGAAAAATGAAATTAAAAATGAATGAAACATCTTGTGTTATGAGAGAATACGAATTAGGAAATCCAAAGTTATTTCATTCYGAGTCCAAAACAATACTTTGTCGTAACCAGTTCCTTCGTAACTTTTTGTAGCTTTTTTGTGTGAATTTTGCATGTGAGTTAGTCGCCTTATCGTAAATCCTACTATTTACAATTGAACCAATTGTGTTTTAGTCATTTAAGAAGTATCGTTTCTATTTTTCCGTGTTTTTACCTATTAATTCAGARCCTTTATTTGGTTCAGCATAATTTCTTCCAGCTTAATGACGGAAAACGTCGCTTTATCATACAACTATTGCACAGGATGTTCTTTATTTTCTAGCGGTTTTTTCCCACAGTTAAAAACGCTATGAATTACCGGCTCGTTTCATGTTAGATTYCTCAAGTCAGAAAGGTAAAGTTGCCTTGCAGCAAAATACTGAAAGGTTCACATAACTTGTCATTAATAGACTGAATAGGAATGCATACTTATCAGAAAATGAAGAACAATCTTTAAAGTTCAAGTGAAAATTGAGTGTATATACTTCTGTATTTTTTAGTTCTAGTATTATTCTTGTAAAATGACGTCTAGAACGAAATAGATTTTCTGACGATTTTAAGATGGTATCAACATTTAATAAAAATAGGATTTTCCGCTAAATCTGTGCGTCATTTGAAGACAAATTGCCGCTAGCACTTTCGTTGTATCGAAATTCCATTGCATTTTAGTGTTGACTATTGGCTTCATGAACCCAAAATAAGAATGATTTGATGGTTACATTAACAAAATCATTCAAGAAAATGAACATTTATGACTTTTTCAACAAAAAGAACTATGTTCACTGAACCTTATTTTCCTCGTGTTATCTTTCGAACTATAACGTTATATAAAATTCGTCGCTTTTGCGCATAAGCAACATTTCAAGCGAGTTTTCTGTTTGTGTCTGTATGGTACTTTTTCAGGAGTTTATGGTACTACATCAAAATATGTCTCACAAATCACATCTCTTACACTCCAAGTATTGTAACCCTGAGTGCTGTTGTGTCGACTGATATTATCGTAATTTCCCCGATCCAAGCCCAGAGTCGCAAAAGAAAGATGTAAATCATGAATGCTTAAGGTTTTGCTTGTGTATTAAGATTACAGGGAGGAGGATATTGGCTGTTTTACGCAGTATATTGGCTGAACATGCGCTAATGAATCATTCAATACGAGCGCGCACAAAGTGCGATAAGTTTCCGATAGGGTATTCGATTAAGTGCAATTTAAAAATTTGTCAACAAATTTTGTTTAAATGAGTTTTCTTTATAAAAATAGCGCAATCCATTAATAATCCAACGGAAGAGCAAATGAGAACGGCCGAGAATACTTAATTGCATCATTACGAGTTTCATAAAACGAAAAGTTTAAGTTAAAAAGTCTTTAYTTGTAATGTATGACTTTTCTCTGTGGGAACGTCGACACATGTTTATCTTGATTTCATGCTCGGTTGGAGACGTAATTTTCTTTAGCTTATCATTGATCTTTTATCGTTTGGGATAGAAGCATTAACCGACGACTCGCTTCCTCAAGGACTATCTATTTGAAGTGCATTAGCACCGTATAAAAGCTATCAAGTGAGATACAATTCATCACTGAAAAAGCTGCCGAGGAAACAACAGGAGAACAACTTAGTAAGGTAAGCTCTACTGAAACAATTCTATTTCAATGCTGCATTGTCCTTCGAAAAAATCGATTTAACAAATTTTTCAATTGTTCATTTTATCTACCAACTGTTTTAACCTATTTTTTGTTTTGTGTCAATGTRTCGATGTTTSATGTAAGKAACACCTTGTTTAGACACCAATCCATCCCGAAAATARATGATCGAGGAAGCTTCTGATCACAAAATCCTAAGATTTTACAACAAAATCTTAAATGATATTGTTAGCTCGGTGTAATTTAGTCTGGTTTCCGCTATATTTCTTGCGTCTCAAAAGCGACAGTAACAAGGCGTACGCCAAAGCAATATAACTGCTTACTTCGGCGTTTTACCAAAATCAAGAAAAACAGTTAAACGGATATTGCACTATATCCATAGTTCAGTCATGCATTTTTYTAGTCCATCTCATTTTTCATTTCGTTAACTTCTAGCTTTTGCACGATTCTTTTTCTTTGCATTTTTGCCCTCATGTAATGTGTTTTATTTTTTATGTTTATGTTTTTGCTCTTTTTTGCTGTAATGTTCCTTCAACTTGAATTTTTTTTAATGGTCTTCATTTTCTTCCATGTACTCTAATCTTTTTTTACATAATTGAGGATTTTTCCTTCTCCTTAATTCTTTGGCCGGTCATGACCTCATGAAATTTATTTTTTAGTATGAAATTTTTGTCAAAATAAACACTGTGTTTAAATTATCTCTTAGCAAGTACGTCCTATACCTACGATCTTCAGTATTGTTAGTCCGGGTTGTGAATCCATTGAAATCYTTAAAATATTTCATACGTGAATAAACCATTGACGACTTTTGTACTGTTATTTTGATATTTACTAACGATTAGTTTTATTGTTTTTATAGGTTCACTTTCACATCATATAATGGCATCAAGTAAAACATTAGTTGCCCTCCTTGTTGTATTTATGCTTTGTGGTGTAGTTTTCCAAAGCACTAACGCTTTCCTAAGAAACGGACGAGACGAGATTTATGCGCGAAAACGCGGCGAGATGGGAGTACCACCATATATGGAATATGATGCAGCAGACCTGGCCAGAGCAAGACGAGGTAAAAAGCAACTCTTTTCCTATAAATTTTATCTTTGACATWGATAAAGCGTTATCATAATAGTGCTTTTCCAATATGGCGTTTTTTGTTAGAAAAGTAGGAACTACTTTTCTGAATACCATAATTTGACAAAAATATGACTAAACAGTTCATGTCGCCAGAGCACATATGTCGAAACGGTGAATTTTACAGGTAACTTAARATAGTTCGTTTCGACTATTCTTGGAAAGTAAGAAAGAAAGAAATATGATTGAGTGGTTAAGGGCAGTTCTGAAGCCGTTAAAAAGTCCGTTGGGTAGTGGCTTGAAACCCGAGMGGACGGTTCCTTGACTTGTGTTTGTTGTAGGTTCAATTTGTTGAATGTTAGAATCAGCATAATGATGTTTTTTATTTATTTTTGTTTAGACCTTTTATTATTATCATTATTATTTATTTACGATTTATTTTCCATTTCACAGATCCGATAGTTATTCATTTAAGTAAACGAAATTAATACGTGAAATAGAAATAAAAAAGTAACTTTTGCAATTCCATTTTGCTTTCTACTGCCTACTCAATACTACAGTAGTAATTTACAGTAGTAATTGTTTCACAGATTCAGAGCGTTCACTCCAACTGTTGTTCTATTCACTCAGTTTTATTTTCCTTTGTATAATACGCTGTTATTTCATTGTCTCTCTATTATATAAAGGGTTTTCCATGCTGTCTAATACATTTATTTATACACGTATTGMAAAAACGTCAAAGCTGAGGCCACAAGGTAGCATGAGAAAGCGAATTTTATGAGAATAACAGTGTTTCAGTGACTGCGMTGACAAAAATTACATTCTCTACGAGTAACTACTACAGCAATATGCACAAATTATGATCATTTTGACTCATGTTCCAAGTATATATGAAATRTATTAGAAATTATRGGACATCATCGCCAATATTTTTTGCTTATATATTTTTTATATACTTGAACATGAGCAGTCAAAGATTATAATTTCTGCATATTGATGTAGAAATTCCTAGACAAATTTGATTCCATTATCTGAGTACTTTTAATCCCTTACGGCCTTTGTTTCGATGACATCACCTTTTTGCGAACTGACAACGTTTTTTCAATTAGGTGCATGTGAAACGTAAAAGTCCACACTAATTAGAGCGATTTAATAAAGCCGTGAAATAATTGCGAAACTATTACACGCTATTGATGTCTACTGTATTTATTGCATTTGCTTTGTTTTTACTTACTGACATAGAAAGTGATGTTACTTGTTTCACTGGTTAATGCTCTAAAATATACAATATATGCTTCCTTTTTGTTGCAGAATTCGCCAARAGAACTAAACAGTAGAATCGAATCCTAATTAAATCAACCAAGCCAGACCACGACATAAACTCAAATTGATGCATCACCCAGACAAGTTTTGTAATACAATGTAAAAAGAAATATGATTTTGCAGTGCAATTCTGTGGTTCAAATTAACCATGAAATAACTTGTTGACAAAAATAAAACTTGTCATTGGATTTCTCGTGTGCTGTTGTTTGATAAGCATGAAGATACATTTCGCTTCGTTTTTTTCCAATTGAACGCGGTTGAACAGTGCTCAATACGCATAAGTGCAGAGCAAAACATACAATAGATAAACTACGAGGAAACACGCATGATTCTCTGTGACTTGTTTCGTGTGTACGCACTTGTCAGACAAAATTAGATATATATTGCATGTGAAGACAATAGGGTAAGTGCTGTATTACAATAGGTGATTGTTATACTATATACAATACATAGGGAAAGAATAACTGCGGAACTGTTGTAGGAGCTTCTGATTATTAAAGTGTGATTATCAAATAGACACAGAAGCTAARGATACAATGCTATTATAGGGTGCATAGGTGTATTATCTATTTCACGATTTTTTTTATTTGAAACTCATCACCAGTAGATGAGCTTGGCGTTGKKGCTTAGGTGGGAGGTGAGAAGAGCACAGCACAACCCAAGGTTACCATGGCAACTCCGGCCGACCTAAGGTTACCATGGCAACCAGCCCAGCGGAACGGAACATAATGATTACCACGGTAACCCYGGCATACGAAACAGACTACAATGGTTACCATGGCAACTCTGTCCCACCCCTACACCCAGTACCGTCACACTGACAAGTCAGTGGAATATACCTTACCTATACTTACCAGGATGAGGGAGGGAGGGTAAATTTCCAAATAGCGTACGAAGAACTTTGCGTTAAGTCAGCGTATCAAGCTAGCGATAACTGAATGGCATGACAGCAATGCGAGTACGCCCCACTCATAAGCGGTGGCTTATTGCKTRACACACACGTGATACGTAAAATCGTTGTGTGACCTCAGAGGGGCGTGCGAAACCACGTTATGCATAACAKAGCGATAAGTGGCAACTAGTGTTGGTTTAACTTTGCTTAAATATTTTATTTAACCACATTTTATTTCACTCTAATCCGTGAAAGAAAAAGTATTACTACTAAATTTGTTTAATGGAAAAAAAAGTGTCAGCGTAATTTTGTACTGTTTAATTTYCACGGACTGATTAAGTGCATTGGCATTTCAAAAAAAGYACAAAAAGAACGGGTTAACTGCAAACATACTCTTTCTGTGTAATTGTTCTTTAGATTRAAGTCATTGAATCAGTGAAATAGAAAAAGAAAGTACGAAAGTTTGGTTGTCAAATATACATAAAACTAAATGCAATTAGATCGTATTAAGGTGTACTAGTGTAATATACATGACTTACCCTAGCTGAATGCAATTTTTCAAATGACCCACCCCCGTGGCCATGTCTTATTGACACGAAGCCCACTCTTTTGATTTTTAAGAAGTATGTTGTATTGAATATGGAAGTGATATTAAGAGGTTACTAACGTAGTGCGAGGTCTGTACGGGAAAATATCAGACCGAGGTCTTGACAGTACGGACGAGCGCAGCGAGATCGAGCAAGCGAGGTTAATAACTCGTTTATTATATGGCTTTTACACATCGTAGATTATGTAGAAGAATTACTCAAAGTATAGGAGAAGTCTCACTGGTCAACTCCCTCTATCTGATGGCAACGCTTTTCTCAAATATCTCACGATATGAGTAAAATGACAAAGAAACCATCATATTTTCAGTAATTGTCGGCTAAAAAGACGGGGATTGTGGCTCCTTGTTTCATAGATTCACTTTATTTTCATACACAAATACATTATTATATACTACTTATTAACCGAGAGTGAGGTCATTACAGGGAAATCTCAGACCGAGGTCTTGGAAGTATGGACCGAGTGATAGCGAGGTCCATGCAAACAAGACCGAGGTCTGAGATTTCCCTGTAATGTACCGAACGGACGAGGTTAATAAGTTATTTATTATATGGCTGCCTTTATAAAAAATAAATAAAATATATAACGTGAACAAAATATAAGAACGGAAGAAGCGCGCGCATTTGTTCATTCAATGTCATGTCGTGTTCAGTGTCGAAAAAATACAACAATTTGTTTAATATAGCACAATTTGTGTCACAGAACCGTTTTTATTCCACAAAACACGCGGTAATTTAGCTTAAAAAGTTTCAGAACATCCAAAAGTTTGTAAAAATAGTTGGAAAGTACGTCAAAATGACGACGATTGAAAACGTCAACACGTGCAGACCTTGCAGTGATTTTAGCTAATGTTCAATTTTCATCGTCACTCTCGATGATATAACGTCGTTTTTTCCGTTGTTGGATCTTGATTGTTCCTTTGAAAATTTTGAACGGACAGTCGGATATTTTGCTGATGTTGGCTCCACCGAAAATGCTACTTAAGCACTTGGATTTGATGTATGAACGGCGAGGGAAGTGGTTGACTCAACTGGTTACTCATGAGGACGGCAAGCATAGTCTAATGACAGCTTAGAAATGCTCGATAAGTATTCACCATAATTTAAAGATAGCTCAAAAAGGATTGTATTGGAAGAAAAAAACGATGTGTCAGGATGTAAAAGCTCAAAAGAAGCCAGAACATACCTCTACAGACTACTCAAAACAAAAGTGAAAAGCCGAAGGGATTCAAACCGGTGTTTTGACAAGAAAAGCTGAGAATGAAATCCTCCTCTTAAAAATTCAATGAGCTCGTTGACTAGAAAAAAAGAGCAAAAACCTGGAAGTCCAGTTGAAGGAATTTTGAGTCAGTGTGAACTCGTTCAAATGCCAAGCTTTCTCAATGAAAACAGCTGAAAACAGGCAAACTTTCAAGCAATTCGTGGGACATAACCGTCGTCTATCAAGTTTACTTTTGCAATTGCTCAATGCAATAACTCCTCGGTTGCTGGAGAAAGAGAAGAAAATTGTAATTCAATATTGAGGGACATCCACATCGAAGAATTAATAAACAAACCTACACCGGCCTTGTCGATAGAAGAATCATTGAAAAGTTTGTGAGTAGACTGTAATAATGTATTTGTGCATGAAAATTAACTGAATCTATGAAATAAGGAGCCATTATTCCCTCATTTTTGCAGACAATTACTAAAAATATAATGATTTTGGTCATTTTCGTCGGTTTGGTACTAAAAATATAATGGTTTTCGTCTGTTTGGTAGCCATTTTGTCGGCTTTCGCACTAATCTCGTCAAAAACTTACATGTTAAATAAATTCACTTTGACTGTAGTTTTCGTTGTCTCTCATTTTGNCATCAAAGTCGGGATGTCTCTCAATATAGAATTACAATTTTCTTTTCCAGCAACCGAGGAGTCATTGAAAAATCAGAGTAGACTTTATGAGAAGAGACTTTATGAGAAGAGGATTTCATTCTTGCCAAGACACCGGTTTGAATCCCTTCGGCTTTTCACTTTTGTTTTGAGTAGTTTGGGGACTTAAGCTCTGGTTTCTTTTGAGCTTTTGCAACTTGATATTGAGTTTTTCTTCCAATATARTCCTTTTTGGGCTATCTTTGAATTGTAGTGAATACTTATTGAGCATTTCTAAGCTGGATTAATGCCGTTGGCATTGAAAACAACTGTACGGTCAACTTGGAAAAGAGTGGGAAAGTCAAGTGCTAAGACGCGAGCGCGGACAAAAAGGMGGGAGTAGTTGAAATTGAACCATCTTTCTTTCAGATCATTAAAAGATGGATGTTGTTTGAATTTTTTCATTGCAAAGAAAAAGTCGCTAATCTTATAAAGAAAGATGTATCGATTCCACCAGTCCAACTTACGGAAAATATGGAAGCTGGACCGATACCATAGCAACGGTCCAATACGGCTTTAGACAGACCACACGTCAGCCAATCAGAATTCAGGAATTTTACAAGCCATATAATAAAGGATGGTAATTTCGYATGCACGGCCCTCTAACATTTTTTGTTTGGGTGCCTCCCCCTCAAAACCACCAAGCCCCTCCCAATAAAAMATGAACGGTCCCTAATAATACTGTTTGATTTGATTTGAAACATATATTATACAAAAAAAGGAGTCACGTTTAGTGCACTTTTATTATTTTCGCCGTCAATTTTGAAATGCATACTASATTTTCACCAGTCAKTGAATGAGCAAAATATGCTTCAAACTATGTTTTCTTAGCAAGGAAAACTTGAAAAGGAGTGATAGAGCCAGCTCCCATTGAATACACAACTTCGTATTTTWCATTCGAAATTGAATAGGTGTCTCGTATCCAGGTTCCATAATCACCAGCTTTTTGAGGATTTCCAAGGAGCGCTTTCCATGTACTCTCGAACCCGCTACTTGGGAATGGATCTTTGTCGACAATCTGTATATAAAACACAATTTTTTAGTTTAATATTTTCATGGGATCTAAAGTCAACAATGTTGTTAACGATTACGCTACCGAGTGGAGTAATTTAAAAAGAATTAAATCTACTCTACTATGCGAGTAGCTTTTACTTCAACTCGGAAAGAKAGCCCAAATAACTCAAAAAGGGTTTCAAAATTKCTCTTAGAAGAGGAGTCAAAATTAATCMTTAAGGTGCAGYTAAAATCATCTCCAGAAAAGGATTTTTAGTTTCCCTGTTTGTCCTACATCAACTCCTTGAATATAACAKTAACTAGATGCATAACTTGACCTCAGGCTTTCTTTTGAGACCCAGATCTCGTCAACTCCCTGAATACATATTGCAGTTTAAAGCCGATTTTACTTTTTTTGTAAAAATGTACTGCGAAGTTATCATAAAAAAGAAAAAGTTGGGGAAATTTCTTTACGGGTWTTCTTTTCTTCTCGGGAAAGCCAAGAAATGCGTTTAAGCGTCGTTTTCAAATCGTGTTAAAAAATGATACAAGAGGAAAACACCATTTATACAGAGAAAACCCTAGTGCAAAGGACACGTATATATATCATCAACTTCTTGTTGTTGTTGCTTTTTTTTTTGTTTTAGGAAAACGCGAAGAAAGATATAGTGTGAAAATTCCTTGCCATGCCGTCTCACCTTAACGATGAAGTTCTTTGTCTGCGTTGCGTAGTTCCACGCAAAGACGATCCACTTGTTTTTACCTTGAATTTCATACGTTAAAAACGCTCTCGAACCTTGCAAAATGCTTGTAGTGACGCCTACAATCGTAAATATTTGAAAATGAGTTTTTTGGAATCAACTTTTTTTTACTGTATTCACAAACTTTTCCTTAACTTATTTATTGTCACTGATTTCGAAGGTATGTTCTGTACACCAATCCAAAAGCGTTTCAGGTGAGGTAATCCTGAACTAGTTTTGATAGCCTACGTTGCGGTAGCCTGTGTCACATCCGGAAAAACCGCGGTTAAATCCGTCAGTGAAACAGCGCCGAAAAGCTTGTAACGACCCCCAATGGACTAGTAAGATATATGGAACGATTTTTGAYTGGCTGTTACCAATTCGAATTCTAACACGGTCGATGATTGGTCGATGACTTGTCAGAACACATCACTTCACACGCGAAGGAACAACATAAAATGGCGTTCGAAGGAGCTTTCAAAAAAGTCGACAAACAGTTCGAAATAGAACAGCYTCTTCGGGAACAAAAAGGCGGAATTGAAGAGAGTTGGACATAAAGATGAATTAGTAAKCATAAATGAAATATTTACAATAGAGGTTGAAGAGAAAATTTACATCCACTCTATCAACAGATAAGGTCCTCCACTTACCAAGCAATGGACCTCTAAAAGTAGTTACCATAGTTCCGTCTTTCRTAAGAGTGCTTGGTGGTGGTGTGTCCATTGTTGTATCCTTGAGGGTGTACCATTTGGGGTTGATTAGATTAAAGTCAGCACTGTTAGACAATGAAAGTGTAACTGCCGCATGTTTCAAACCATCAAGCATAGAATTGACGCTGAAGACCAAGCCAGAAAGTGTTGAAAATGCGGAAAGGTAGTCATYCCGTTCCCATGCTGAAAATAATCGTATTATTGATAACACTGTTTTGTTAATGTTCTAGAAATTACAGCGAAAACAATCCTTTGATTAATTCTGACACACAAAAGAACTGCTAGACCCAGTAACGTCATTTTGTAMAAAATCTTTTGAAAGGCTCCGAGAAAGATCGAGGTAATATTGACTTTGAAATGTTATTAGAATTATCGGTATTATATAAGCAATTTTAATTCGCAAGCCACAGGAACAAACACGCCTGATTTTCTTCGAATTCTCTTGTCACAAAGACACAAAAGGTAACGGTAAACATAGAACTTAGGCCCAGTTCAAGCGTCGAACTATCGTCGCATAGAACCATTTATGTCGACACATATTTGGTGCGCCGTTAATTCATACGTCGAATAGAGTTGAAAGAGTAAGAAAAGGTCCGATAACCTGCAATTGCATCCACTATTATTCTAGAAAAAAGTTTTATTTCTAGAAAAACGTTTTATTTTAAGCATGGTTTGACTTTCCACAAGCTATTTGGTTCGAAGCGACGATATCAGAACGTATGAACCGGGACTAATACCCTATACAAGTGTTGGTTTGCTATTACAAATACGGGCGTTCTGTTGAAAATAGAACTACTGAAACAAATACAAAAAACAAACTTACCTGCGTACGTATTGTGGAATGACCAAACAGCAACAAAACTAAAAACACAGATTACTTTTAAAATTTGTTATTTCTGTTAACGACAAGTTCGAATGTAAATTGATATTACAAAATTGTGAGACAAAAAGCAATGGAAATTATGAACCCCTAATTCCTTGAGTTGTGTCTTTGGCCATTATATTTAAGAGCCTTATTTGCGATACGGAGTGTCTAAACGTAACGCCAGGCAGGTTTTTTTGAAAACTCGATAGAACAACCATTATTTCAAGTAGTAGAACAAGAGAAATGGAAAAAAGCCGAAATTCTCTGTTCAATAAGGTTGTGTACGCAAGCACGGCACTTTGAGATTTTTCGATTGCCTGAAGCCGACGGAGTGTTCCGGAAAACTAATGTCAGAGCAAAGTGATTGAGCAAGATATTTGTCAACAAGTCGTAAAAATAACTCCGACAAGATTGCATACACAACCACGGCACTCAATCTGAGATTTTCGATCGCCTGACGTTTATTTATGTATTTTTCTTATCACTCCGCCACGCTGTCTGACGCGTTAGACACTCCGTTAAAACAAAAAATGCATTTTTGAAATATTAGAGTTTTTTGAAATCATGAAAACATTTGTTAAGAATACTATATTTACTTACCAWAGAAAAGATATAACTCGGGTGACCTTCATCTTTGGAGTCCCAAAAACACGAAACAAAGGCTGTGCGAGTGACTATATATACTATATATCGATGWAATAGCCAATCAAATGACATGACACGTTAGTTATTGCATATTTGATGACTCYATTCAYCACTCGTTAAAACCGTGAAAAAAAAAGCTTTCGATAAATAGTTAGTGATATTTTCTTAATGTTTTAGTGAATTTTACAATTTACTTTTTCYTGTTGCGATGTTTGTTATTTATTGATTGATTTTCACTCCTTTATTTTTCAGCTTTGCTTCAGTTTTAATCTTTTTGCATATTATTCTTCAGCATTGTCTTTTTTGGCACTTTCCATCCATTTTTCCATCTCCTCATCGCAAATAATATACGAATGGAATATTTTCTTAGATATCTCCTTATTTGTTGCGTTTGTCTTTGTGCCTTTTTCCGCTTCTGGTGCTACATTTATCTGTTCAACTTTTGAAATTATTAGTTTTACCCGAGCTACCCCAATTWTTTTCAGTTTTATTTTGTATGTATTTATTTGATTGTGCTTATTCATTGGACTATTTATTGATGGCTTGTTTTAGATAAATGTAAAAACATATGTTCTTAAWAGCAAGTTTTTCCCTTGTGTTTCAAATAAGTCCACAAAACTTAAGCCTGCGTCCATTAGCTTTCAAATATACTTTAATGAAGATAGAGCAAGAAACGAGTTCAATTTTTTCAATGACCTCCTTATGAACTAGTATATTTTCAACAAGAATCGAAGTAACTTTAATTCGATAGTCAAAACGTGTTTGACAACCGATATTCTCTAGCTATTCAATGGGCGTAGTCAGTAAACATTCATGAAACTGGCCACCTTAAAACATATCGCGGGTGCGGTTTACGATAAACGGAATTGGAATCCTTGTTTTTAATTTAGTTTTGTGTTGAAATAATGGAATTACATCAGAGCGCGGACCATGAAACTGAAAAAATAATGAGATATGTGAAAAAACTAAAATAAATCTTAGATCAGATTTCAAAAAAAGGTTAATTTGTGGCACTAGATAACCCAAACAAACACTCAATAATGATGATTGGAGTTCAAGTTGGACAAGAAATTCGATTGATCCGATCTGTTGATAAATGGTCAATTTTTTAGCAAAAGTCTGATTGCGTGTTGGTTGCCTTTTATTGTATGACTCATCGCGCGAATGCCTCTTCGATTGATTGCATGTTCCCATGTGATTATTGAACAGTAAAAATGTAGCCGATGTATACTTGAGTTTATCACTTTATAAACTAATGGAGTAAGATTCGAAAAAGTGAAGACACAAAACATAAATTTAAAATATTAAACTTTTATGATATTTACAGCCTAAAGAATCACTGTGCATTCAAAACTTCTATCTTACTTTTCGTGTGTAGTTTTTTGTGTGTTTATATTGAGTTGTTTTCTTCCTTTTCTTTGACTTTGTCTTCTTTAAATTCTCTGTTGTATTTCCTTTATTTTTCCTGTTGAATTAATTATATTAATTCCTATGGGTTAGGTTCATCCTTTGGAATTTTAGCGTTTTCCCAAGCTTGACTTAGGGAATGTATATTGTTGTTTTTTGCTTTTATTTAACTTGCTTAATCTGCTTCCTAAACTTTTCTCCGCAGTTTTGTTTCGCTTGACTCTTATGAAGCACGCCTTTTCATTCGATAGAGTTATAGGTTAGCCTTGCTAAATTTCCTCTTAATAGCGGAGCTCAGGCCCGCCCGAGCGGAGCACCATAGCTAAGAAAAAATGGTATACCATCSAGTCGATTTTCCATGGACCGACACAGGGTTCCCGCGCGTACGGACGTTTCCGTCCGTCCTTCCTTCCTGGAGTGCGTGTACTACCACAGGAAACCCATACTCCGCTCGAAAAGGAAACAAAGCGCCAAGTATTTGTTGAAAAATCGAAATTTTTTCCTTAAACATTTATATTACATATTGATAATATTTAGAACAATTAATAACAAGGAAAAAATCCACTGAAGAGCGAAATAACAGCACAGAAATATTCCCGCYAATTTTGTCATAACTTCGACGCGTCCTCAAATCCGGGAAATCGATTTGCGATGATGAAAAGCAATTAGGCCCATCTTAAAAGTGATATTAGAGAAAAGGATTTTACTTTGATATTTTGACAACAAGAAAGAGATGATACTTTATTGGAAATACTTCAATAATATGGACCAGTATGGGAAAAAGCAGGGATCTATGCGAAGTTCTTTTGTCGACTAAAAGTGTGGACATTTCGAAACCAAGACCATGCTAGCAGTTAGATTGAGAGAGATTAAAAACAAAGAATCTACAGTCTTGAATGACTTAATAAATTGATGAAACCTATGCTTGAAACAAGTATGGCTCTGTTGAAGATGACCTTTGAACGATAATTTATCGGAAGTTCGATATAAATGAAGGTAAAAAATATATTCTTGTATACAGTTTTCTGTGATGAAAAGTAGTGGTTTGCCATGCCTTGTTAATACTATACTTTTGGGGGAAAATACTTCTAAAGGCACTTATAAAGTTGATAGCTTTATTCCATACGTTTCGCCTTTTCAGGCTTCATCAGTGGATACAACTGAATGGCTAGTTTGAATAAATTGTTTGAAATAAAGAACACTAGCTCTGACACTATTATGAATGGCTGCGTTGGACGCTACTTAAACATCTAATAACTATTGAACCTATAATATATTCGCATAACTTTTGTAATTTATTCAAACTAGCCATTCAGTTGTATCCACTGATGAAGCCTGAAAAGGCGAAACGTATGGAATAAAGCTATCAACTTTATAAGTGCCTTTAGAAGTATTTTCCCCCAAAAGTTTTCTGTGATATGTGAAGTTCGAGTAGTCCGGGTTCAAACATCGATTATTGAAACAATGTTGATTATTGTAAGCTTATGTAGACTACTTTTTTCCGAGAAGCTTTCAGTTTACTTTTAATCAATTGATCTTTATAGATTATAATATTAAACTTCATCGAACGGAACAAAATCTACCGAAGTCAATATTAGTACGAACTAAATTCTCATAAACATACTCTTTATAATACTGATTTGTTCGCATGTCAACAAAACTGTTGTAGCTCACATTCCTTAGAACAGAGCATCTACCTTTGAAATAGCAGTACTAGATAATCATTTTCAGCTTCTATATTGCTATTGGAGCTTCGCTATTAGGTGTTACCTAATTTTTATATTAATTAAGTAAATTGTTTTATTGCAAATAGCATTACCGTTAATTTCATAGTCAAAACATGTGTTAGCTGGTGATATTTTATCTCTTATCAATGGGCGTACTCGCCAGCACGCATTCTTGACACTGGCCACCTTAAAACCTATCAAAGGAACGGTAAGATCAAGAGGATCGCTACTCTCTAATTCATGAAAACTCTGA